TTTTTTTTTTTTTTTTTTTTTTTTTTTTTTTGTACCAGAGATTGAACTCAGGACCTTGCACTTGCCTGGCAGGCGCAGTGCCACTGAACTACATCCCCAGTCCTATGATATACTTTTTTAAACTATGACTATATCTCATGGAACTAATATGAACTAGATGATCCATGGAGAAAAGACACAGAAAACTGAGTTGAGCTCCACAAAAGGATTTGAGAAAGACTTAATTAGGGAATCTATCAAAAGGGAAATAAGACTTAACAACTTAAACCATCTGTAGCTAATTTAGTCAGGATAACTTTTTTGGCCCTATTTCTTGCATTCTGCATACTTAGTGCTTAGATCTATGCAACCACTAAAGATTATTGAATGACCATAACATTTCATCAGACCATAAATCATTTTCATTCTGCTCCCCTGAAAAGCAATTGGGATCACCCTCCTGCCTAGGTTTGTTTTTAAAACAGCGTCAGTTCAATTCAGGATAAAATACTACTTTAAACTTCGGCAGAGCTTGGATCTTTGGACAAGAATACACTTCATTAGTTGACCTAATTTTGTATAAGTCTCTGCCCATATTTGTACCTCTTTTGTTTCCTTCATTTGAAAAGAGGGAAAAAATTTAAAATATTATGGTATGTATTTGCTCAATTTATATAATGTCCAACAAAAGCCACACATGTATTAAAATAGGATTCCGGGATTCACTGCATTTGCAAGAAAAATTTAAACTTATTTATACATTGTTAAAATATGTGCTACCTTAGCGTGTTATTATGCAGATGACATTGAAAAGAAATGATTCGGTCCCCATCAGTAATGGACCCGTCGGCTGTGGGGGAGAAGCAGTGGCACGGACTCTTCGTGAGTGTGCGTCCTCCCGATCAATGTAACTGTCTGCCTCGCACCCGTAAATGTGGACGAGAAGTATGGACTTGGCAGAAGAAAGTAAGCTGCTGAGAGTCGATCAAGTGCATAACCGTGAGAAGCGTGTGAATCAGTCTGCGAAACAGTGCTGGTCAAAGTATGAAGTGCGACGATTTCTACAGGAAGAAAGATATTTAGTGCGGCTTGACCCAGATCCGCATTATCTGGTGGCTACTTTCTTCTCAATGAATTTGTGCCTATATGTATCGGACATATTAAAGCATTTTGACAGTGTTTTGCGGTCCTACGAGATCTGAATTGTAAACACAGGGAAGAGTCAGTGGCGTTGTAGGGAGTGGTTTTCTTTGTGGTGCGCACTGTGAGTGCCTGCGTGCCCGCGCCTGTCCGCTTGCTGTGGTGCTGTCAGTGGCACTGGGCCTCCGCTGCCTCCCAGCCCTGAAGGGGTCGTCCCGAGAACCCGCTGTCTGGCCTTTGCCTTGCCGCCTCCTCTCCCCTGCAGGGCCCTATGGCATTCCGGAATGCCGTCCTGGGCCCGAGCAGGCGGGGCCGAGGGTGGCAAGGTGGAGTCTGCCTGCTTCTGGGGACTGGAAAGCTGGGCCGAGTCCGCTTACTCTGAATTTATGATGCCCGGGAGGGAGGGAACGGAGGGCCCAGTGATCCCCCCCGCTTCCCCCTGCAGGCAGCTGTCTCCCGGGCCGCCCTTGGGCCTGCTGAGGAAGTAGACGGGTCAGAAGTGACGCTTGGGAAGTGGCCGCCTGCCGCTGGGGTGGACACTCAGAGGTGAAGACGCCCGCCGGGGCTCCCCTCCCTCGCCCCATGCCGCCTTCCCTGCCTGTCGGCTGAAGGCGGAAGCTGAGCTGGGCTGGGCCGGGCCGGGCTTCCCCACCTACAAGGACGACTTACCGGGAGTAACTGCTGCCTGATCAGGGACCCGGAAACTTCAAGGTTCTGCCTTGGTTACCGTCCCGCCGTTTGATTAGAAGTACTCTGTTTTCCAAGAATGAGTTCAGCAGAACTTGAATTGCTCACCTCCTCTCCCAGTCCCTCACGGCAGGACCGTCATTTTCTTCTCAGATGCACGTTCCGTGCAGTGCCTGCTCACAACCTGTTAATAGCTCTGAATGCCTTGATGGAAATTGCGTTCTTTAGTAGTGACTTACCGAGCATGCCTAACACACTCCTGCTCTTTTGTAGGATCTGGAACTTGGAAGGAAGGCAGACGGCTCACTTTGCTCTTCATTCCCCGGGTATGAGCGTGTGCTGGCATCCTGAGGAGAATTTTAAGGTTATTTTTTATGACTTTCATCAAACCGAAGAAACACACGCAGATACAGTGCCTGCAGCCATTCAGGAGTGAAATCAGGGCCCTTTTCTCCCTCAGAACCTTGGCACGGAGCCTTCCGGTCCGTGAGACATCCTCCAGAACCATTCAATTGTTGACAGCCGCCCTCTGCAAGTAACAGTTACTCAGAGTTCACTTTTTTCCTGACCTTGAACAGATTACAGTCTAAAACTCATGCCCAGATGGTTTAGTGGCAGCACGCAGTTAAAAAGGAAAAAGAGGGCTGGGAATTTAGCTCAGTGGTGCCACTGCCTGCCTTGCAAGCACAGGGTCGCAAGTTTGATTCCCAGTACCAAAATTACATCCATGCCACTGAATGACAGTGTATATACCAGAAAGCATCAACAGAGTAAGGGAAACCTGTGTTGGCCGCAGTGGCGTTCGTCTCCGCCCAGGGGAGAGCTGCCTGAGATGATAAACATCAGCTGGCCTGCCTTCCACTGCACTGGGGAAATGAGCTGCTCAGCAAGTGGCATCTTTGCCTGCGTCTTGGGTGTTGCTGTGCCACTGTATCTCCGTAGAAGGGGAAACGTCACCACACGCATGCTAACTTGAGTGCCTTGGCTGTTCTCCAGAGTTCTGTCCGCTGCAGGCACCTTGCCTCACGGCCTCTTACCATCTCCCATCCTGTCTCCTATGACTGTTCTTTGCTCAAGTTAATACAAAAGGAGAAGTTTGGTCACTCATCAAAAATGCAGTGTTCAAGTGCGCCAGGCCCTTAGCATTTCTTATAAGCCTCTCGGCCCTTTGGAGAGCCTTTGACAATCCCCGTTTTCACAGGTGAGGACAGCAGCGTTCGGGCAGGCTCGGCCCCTAGCGCAGGGTCCCAGGCCTGCTGCGCCCTCACCCTCCCATCCCTCCTACAAGGGCGTGTCTCTTGTTTGCTGTCTTGGGACAGGTAAGAATTGGAGGCAAAGAAATGAGGATTCGGAGACACCTGGGGCCAGCTTACTTCCCAGGCTCAAGATTAACTGACCCAAGTAAAAGAAAAAACACTGTACCGAGCCCTTTTCCACCTTTCTTTCTAAATCTTTGATTCCCTCACCTAATAGAATTCTGGTCCTGCTCTCCTCGGCCTTGGCCTGACTAATCTCACTCTGTCCCCACTGCTACTACTACTGCTCATATTTTCAGTGTATCCGGTGGCCTTCTGCTTCCTTCGTATTCCCAGTGCAGTCTTTTACATCACTGACCACCTCCTCCGTGAAACTCCAAGCTGCACTCCCCTGTTCGTGAACAACTCTGTACTGTTCTCTCTGCCCTGCCAATTCTTCTTAGACTGAGTCTGTGAATTGCTCCGAGCATCAGTTCTCACGAGAGGTACCGTTACTGTAATCGGGTGAAAACTGAATACGGTCCCTTCCTTTAAGTTACACGCCGAGCTATGAGGAAGAATAAGGTGTTATGTGTTAGAATAAAATGATCCATTTAATGGAACGCCGACGTAGAGCAGGATTAATCAGGGCCCTCGTGGCTCCCGAGAGCGTGGGCCTCAGCCCATAGGGATGTGTGCGAGCCCTCGTCCTGCCGGCACATTGCCTTTGAGCAGAATCTTTCTGGCCTTGGGCAGATTCCAGTGTGAAGCCTGACGCCCAGATAGGATCTGTTTGCCCGTGTGTGAAAGGCCCTCCTTTACTCGTGCAGCGCTTAGAGGCCCCATTTCCGACCCACGTCCCGAACTTCACGCCTGGATTGCTCCTCTCAAGCAGGGAGTCTACTTAGACACGATCGAGGATTCTACCAAAGTGTTTATGTCACCACACATGAAGAGAGTAAGCTACTTTTTAAAAACGGACCTAAACCAGAATTGAGAGTATTTACTGATATTGATAACTTCCATCCCCACATTTATACCAATGCTTATTATTTCAGGCCCCTTTCTTCCATGTGCTTTAACTTACTGTTTATTTTTCTTCTGAAGATACCACCCTATCCTATCTCCTTTTTTATGTTTCTGTGACTTCCAAATGGTTGAAGTCTCTATTATAAGTCAGATAAACTCAAAATCCTAAAAGCACCTTTCTTTCCTTCTCTATACATAAACTTTCCTGAGTCTTTTAATTTTTCCTTCACTCTTACTAACTCTAGTTGTGCCTCTTTATTGAGGTGCGTCTCGGCCTTCCTGTGCTCAGAGCTGCTTCTCACCCAGCAAACCGGACCTGTGCTCTCTCTTCGGTCATGCTTGCCTGTTTGACTAATACTCTTACGGACCCCAGTTTTGGTTTCGTCTGTCATTCCCAGCCTCGGGGCCCCAGAACACGGGAGCGTCACCCGGGAGGTGGTTAGGGACAGGACACACTTGCATTACTCAGACCCCAGCAAGTCACTTAAGCGCTCGCATCCTCATCCTGGAAAGTGGGTAACGATGAAATGAGTTAATGTGTCCAGTCCTTTAGCTAGCACTCAGGAGCAGGCAGCACAAGAGTACTTCCCTAGGGTACGTCCATCTCAGCTACTCGGTAGCTTCCTGAGTCCGCCACAGTTGTCCTGCCTGTCACGTGAGGAAAAGCTTGGGTCATCCAGCAGATGACAGCGTAGACCCCATATTGTCCCAGCCTGCTACTGCTGCTTTACACCTTCAGCGTTTTTTAAATGAGAGCAGCACCTCCTCTCAGGCTGCCCATGATCTTCCACTGCGCCGTGCTGATTTCCACACAGCAGCAACTTGAGTTGCATGGGGAGGTGTGATGTAATCATCTGTGTGGAGACACGTGCGTGCCTGCCCCTGCTAGGTGATGACTTCCGGGAGTCAGGTTAGGTGGGGCCCTTCTTCTGTGACTGACCATACATCACACCTCATCACCGAGCTTTCTCGAGTCTCCTTTGGCCACTTTTCCGTAAGCTGTGCTGTTTGGCAGAGATTTTCTTACGTAGCCTTCCTCGATGTCCTTTGCGCCTGATCTTCCGCTTGTAACATACAGCACGTGAGTGTGCTTGCACTGTGGCATGTGGCCTCGTTTCTCTGCTTGCTTCCCGGGCTTGGCTGTGAGGTAACTGGTTAAAGTTCCCTTTTATTTTTCTGCCTTACAGCTGATGGTTGCAGAGAAGAATGGAACAATCCGGTTTTATGATCTTGTGACTCATCAGGCTATTTTGTCTCTGGAATCAGAACAGATACCTTTAATGTCAGCACACTGGTGCTTAAAAAACACATTCAAAGTCGGAGCCGTTGCAGGAAACGATTGGTTGATTTGGGATATCACTCGGTCCAGGTACTCGCTCAGCATGTTTGGCTCTTACTCGATGATCACAGCCATAGCGATTGTTAAGTGACCCATTGGGCCCCTGTAGAGAGAAAACAAGAAGGGCGGAGCTGTGGAGTTTGACAGGGGAGACCCAGAGAGTGTGAGGCAAAGGAGGAGCTCTGGTCTGAGGGACCTTTACTTAGGCAAGGGAGAGCGCGTCCTGTGGAGTGGTGGGTGGCACCCTGGCGTGGCTGCTCTCATGCTTCACCTGCTTTCACTGAGACCTGTTTGGAATTTTGTTTAGTGTTTTTTGAGACAGGGTCTCCCTATGTAGTTCGGGCTCGAATTTGCAATAATCCTCCTGCCTCAGCCTCCCAAGCGCTGGGATCACAGGCACCACCCTGCTGGGCTTGGAAGGTCCTTACCGCTGCTCAAGTCCTGGTCTCAGAGCTGTCAACAGTGACCGTGTGAAGTGTGAGCCACAGTGCGGTGGTTGAGAGGAGGGGCAGCCTCAGGCTGGCTCTCAGCCCTGTGGGGTCGTCTGACGCACAGATCCTTTCCACTGGGTCCCTAAAGAGGAAATAACTTTAAAACCTGGATTTGATTTCAGCTTCAGTCTTACCACAGATTCACAAAATGCAAAAATCCTGTTTTGTAGTTACCCCCAAGAGACAAGACCCGTTCACATGGACCGAGCCTGCCTGTTCAGGTAATGCACCATCTCTGCTGGCCCAGTGTTGGGCATTGTGCTGCTCTGCCACCACTGGAGTGTTCCCCAGTCCTCACTTCTGCACTGATTTTGTTTTATAAGGGCTTAGCTCACTTTCCCCACTAAGTCTCTGCATTTGTCTTTTGGACTTAGCAAGGAATGGATTTGCTTCCCAGATATTTTCTTTATAAAATTTCATAGCTTACAAGGCCCTTTCTTTTCTTTTTTTTAATATACCGGGGATCGAACTGGAGTCCTTGTGCTTGCGAGTCAGACAGCAGCACCACTGAGCTAAATCCCCGGCCCTAGTTTTGCATTGTGTAAGTTAAGCCACTGTCAGCTTTAGAAAACAGGAAAACCAAATAGCAGACTTAAGCCAGTAGAAATTATATCCTCTAAAATGTCCTCAGTAAATGAGACCCGCTGTTCACAGCCGGAGATATTTAACCAAGATTCGAAGCTGCTGACTTCCTGAGCCCGGAGAAGTGAGCCGGGCTTCGTTTCCAAGTCATGAAGCAGCACTTGGGAGTGGAGGGGAGAGGCAGTGCCCAGGCTGGCTGCTCAGCGCTCACCCTGCGCCCTTGCGCTGTGCTGACCTGGGGCACCGCCCTGGGCTCGTAGCTTCACGCCCCAGGGTATGAGGCCAGAGAGCAGGGAGCCCTCCCGTGCGCCTGTCCCTCTGCTGGACAAGGGGCGTGGCCGCTGGACCAGCTGTGTGAGCGGGATGTGTGTGTGTGAGGAAAGCCTTTGGTTCACGTCTTCCCCACTCCTCAGGACAGTCAGACATGCTATCAGAACTCTAGTATGCGGTGAACTGCCTTACAAGGCGTCTGTTTCATCCCAAGGAATGTAAACACGCACGTGTCACTTCATAAGAAATGTCAGTAAACATCAGTGTATTTACTGAACGTTTTGTCTGAGATATTTCATATCTGTCTGGTGGCTTGTTGTGTCTCCCACCACGCTGTGCCTTTTGGTTGTAAGAAGGGGACCGTGTCAACCTTGTGTTGATAACTTGGAATTGAATGCAGTGAATTCAGCTGAGCACTGAATAAATACTCACAAAATGGGGAAATATTTATAACTGATTAGCCTGGATTTCACAGTCTAAATTTTAAGCCATGTTAACAGGTTTAGGATTGTAAAAATTACAGCTTTTGTACAAAAAGAAGTAACTAGCTCCAGAGAGCTTGCCGTCCGTTCTGTGCAGGTCAGTGCATGTTTTCACACCTTCTTGTCTCGCAGGTGGTCCACGATTAGTGAGAGCTTGTTCGCAACCGCTGGTTACCCAGGCAAAACAAGCAGCCAGTGTCAGATTCATCACCTCGGGCACCCTCAGGTAATGCAGGAGCGACTGCACTCAGGGACGTGTGTTGTTTCGGTTTGTGTCTGACTTTACATCCACGACCTCAGATCTGTAGTGACTAAACATTTATAGAGGGTTACGGAGGATTACTGTAGTTTATTACTACAGTAATTACACATCTGGTATCTGTGTAAATTGAAAGAGACA